TGTTAGGTTGGAGGTCACACTAAATGCGGTAGAACTGATTGCTTTGGACTTTGGTAATCCATTTGCTGCAGTGCCGCATGGTGAGTTATTAGTTAAGATGGAGATAAGTGCAAGAATTATAAGAGATTACTAGAGGAGTTCCCCAGTGGCTGGTCCCAGGCCCAGTTTTCATTAATGATCTTGGCACGCTGAAGTGGATGTGCTAATGAAATTGGCTGCTTATCCAAAGTTGGGAGGCATTGTCAATACAGGGGAGGACTGGGATATCCTATAGGAGGGGGTAGGCAATTTTGATGGCTGAGACAGTAGAAATGGGATGAAATGCAATAGTACAAAATGTAAGGTTATGCTGTTAATGGCCGAGAGCAGACTTTTCTGTTACGAGTTGACAGTGGGGACTTACCACTTGGAAATAATAGCAGAGAAGAAGTATGTAGGTGTGGTGCCGGTTCCAGTATTGGGCCACTCACTTTCTGCTCTGGGCATTGCCCTCTCTGGGTTGAGAAGAGGTGGGAAGCTCTGTGGTCTGACGCGCGCTGTAACCGCTGCTGGTGGCTGCGAGCAGCAGTCGCTAACAGGTTGCACGTCTTGGAAATGCTGGAACCCAGCTGGGCTGAGGGAGAGCCCGATAGGGCTACTGAACGTGTGAGTATCGTAGGAAATACTTCACACTTGGCAACCCTGACCGGGGTTTGACAGTCTAAGCTGGGGCTGATGTAACCTGAACAGCATCTGTTCTCATGGAGATCAAGACAGGCAAATGTGTGGGCCTTTTCTGCCTATCAAAGCCCCTTCCACCTTCCAGAGGGAGGAACCTCTTGTTTGAAGCTTTGCAACTGTTAGGATATTTTTGTCCTGGAACCCACACAAATAATAGAATATTTGCAGTTGTTTCCCTCCTCCAAAAACCGTTAGAGACAGAGAAAATACTTTGAGGTGCGTGGAGAAAAAAATTGCAGAAAAATCAAACTGAGGTGCTTGGAGCTGCCAGCGTGCTGCTAGTGCGGAGGAGGCTACAGCAGCAGTCTTCGCCGAGCGCTTTGCTTCCCAGTGGAAGCTTAAGGTTTTCAAAGAATTGGCCCATGTTGAAATCATGAGTGTGGCTGGCCGCCTGACGTGAGGACTGGGTGAGGAAGAAGGGTACAGCGCTGCGTCACTGGTTGCTACTGGAATTGCCCTGCATCACATAAATCCTGCTGCTGCCAGAGAGCCGCTTAACAAAACCTTTGACCGCTCTGAATAAGGTGGTCATTGTTCTCTCCCACAGTAGTGCTACCATGTGGGCTTTCCACCATAGCCGTAGCTTTAACCACACATGTGTGCTCTCTCTCTAAAGGTGGTCTAGGACCAGAAGCATGTGGGAGTGCTCAAGTGTTATTGCTTTCCCAGACTCTCCCGGCTTTCTCTTGGGTAGAAGGAGGACCAGACACAAGTTCTATTCATAGGTCCGGTCAAGGAGTAATCAACAGCAAACAGCGCTAGTGGGGGACTCTGTTAGTCCTACTCTGCTTGTTCGGGTTTGGGTTGAAACCAGATGGAGAGAGTCCATGCTTAGGTGTGAGAACTTGTCCGTGAAAGGAATGCTTGCGTAGTTCTTACTTGCTGTTCAGATGAGAGGGGGTGGCAGCAGTGTGATTTATAGTGAGGACAAAACTGAACAAGTAAGGCAGACCGAGAGCTGAGAATACACCTGAAACCATACACTGGGAAAGAGAAACCCTGGCACCACAGACCTGAACTGCACAGGAAACAAGCACAGAAAATGCCTTTAGACAGCCACAGCAGCACCAGACGTTTGTCCTGTAAACTGTCTCCTTCTCGGTTGAGTGGGGCAGGCATCCTCTAGGCCCAGGATCAAATGCTGCCTGCGGTGTCACCACTAGGGCAGAGGAGAATTAAGCTGTTCAGAAAAGGTGACCCCAATGTTTAAAGCAAGCAAGATCTATTTTAGCCACAACATGAAACGATGGATGAAAACTCTTTCTCCCCTGTTGCCCTCCCCAAGCAGGCAAAAATGTGTCAGGGTGGGTGACAAACCCTGTTCCGATGAGTGGAGGAGTCCAGAGGGACTCAAGGCAGGACAGATTTTGGGTTTCATTCTTTCTGCACGTCTGCTCTTCTCTCTCATCGAGAATCTCTGAAGTCAGAAGTCAAAGTTCTGAGGCAAGGCTCGATTCCCCAAGTGCTTCTTTCCCACATGTGGGCCCCACCCTCCTTCAATCGGCCTGAGACTCTTGCCACTGGGGTGGGCAGCAAGCAGCACACCGCGTCTTGGGGGGAGCTGGGATGTGCTGGTGGGGCGGTGTCTGGGATGGGGACCTGGGGGAATCATGAGGAGGGGCTTGGGCGGGTCGGTTCCAGATGAGTGAACCCACGGGTCCCGCTGCTTCATGATCTGTCCATCCAGGATGGCACCCCCGTACTGTTCCTACCCTGCCAGCTACCTTTTCGGGGCCACAGCTGGCAATGCACTCCTACCCGAGGATCCCCGCCCCAGGATCCCCTCCTGCTTTAGCAGATGTTGCTCTGGACGCTATCATGCTCCCCTTAGGATGCTTTTTCTCTGATCAAGAAGGTCAGCTGTAAGTGTACGCTTGCACTCGGACATCCTGCAGTAGCTACTGCAACCTGGGGGCTACAGTCCTCTCCGTCTCCTGGTACCTGCGTAGCTGCACTGTTGCAGCAGCTTTTCTGAGGAGTGGATGGGAAGTGGGAAATGCAGGGCCATATTCCCATGGCCCTGGTGGTGAAGCAGGCGGCTAGGTGAAAACTGCCCTCTCTGCCGCATGAATACTTGAATCTGTAGTTAGAAGAGAAGAACAAAGTATCTGGAAGATCATAATTTCATAGAACTTAACCAGCCTGGCTTCAAAAAAGGAAAATCACGTCTCACTTATTGAATTCCTTGAACATGTCAAGGTTTGTAAAGGGAGATAATATCTTTTATTAGACCAATTGATATAGCTGGAAAAACCAGACAAGCTTTCAGGCACAGAAATACTTCTTGTATGTTTTTTTCCAGCTGTATCAGTTGGTCTAATAAAAAGTTATTACCTCTGCCCACAAATCTTATTTCACTTAGTCCTTAGATCATCACAGTCACAGCACAACTACTTGAAAATGTCAGTTAGGAATGGAAAAAAGGAGAATTATTTGACACAATTTATTTAGACTTTTTAAAGTTCTTCAGGCAGACTGTGAGCTTCTACCAGAGCTAAGCAGGTACGGAGTGAGATCTGATGCCTTTAGTAAAAGGTATTCCTGGAAGGCTTCAAACTTTAGGGTTACACAGTCAATTTTCATCATGGCAAAGTGTTAACAGTGTAGTTCGAGGTGTGGTACAGTTCTTGATTGTAGCAGCAGAATAAATGGATGACAATTATTTAGGCTAATGAGGATGGGTGAAGATGGTGAGGAATGTCAGAGGTACCAGAAAAACACAAGCAAACGGACAAAGCCCTGGAGAACTGAATGTTTATTTAACATGTGGAGCTAAAACCAGATCTATTTACAATTAATCTATACATCTGCACAGCCAAGAAAGGGACCCGGGGTCGTTTTATGCAGCTCAGTAGAAATCTCTGCACAACTTATGCTTGAGAGGTATGTGTGTAATGATGGTTGCGCTTATATTCGATCCTTGGGACTGCCTCCACCGAGCGCTCTGGGGACCAGCTGCCCCGTCTGGAAAGCAGTGTTATAGAGAGAATTGGGAAAAGCATCAGAAGCGATCAGGAGACTTGGCAAAACCCTCTATGAGGAGACAGATCTACAAGGCTGGGATTATCTGCCTTAGTGGGAACTTAAAAAGTGTACACAGTAAAGAGCTGGAGAAGACAGAGTGGCAGGCTGTTTTTAACCTGCCCCTACTGCATGTGAAATTAAGAACTGATAAAAGAGTACTCGCGTGACGTATTGTGCTGAGAAATTGTAGCACCGCTGTCACTGTTAGTCAGGCCAAGATTTTAAGACTGCTAATGGGGCTGGATATTTATATGGCTACCAGGAGTACCCAGCGTTGTCATTCATTGCCGGCTGTTTGGCAGGAACAGCCAGCCTGCGTTGAGCCAGTCTTTATGAGGTGCGTGGCGCCCCGGCTGCCCCTGGCTCCAGGACCAGGCCCCGGGGAGCAGATGTCCCGGAGGGGCTGGGGGTGAGCGGGGCTGGAAGGGGAAGGGGCCGGGCAGGGGAGAGGTGGGGAGCTCAGGGGCCGTGGGGC